CCTGTCCTGCTCTCTGCCCTTTGCCCAGCTCCTGCAAGCCCCACCAAAAGGCTCTCTCTCCCCTGCCTGCTGCCTGCTGCCTGCTGCCCGCTGCCTGCTGCCCGCTCAGGGGCCCCCCAGGCACCCCGCCATCCTCATCCTCCTCCCCGTCGCTCCCACATCCCACCGCCCTGGCCTGGGGCTCCCCAGGCACCCCGCCATCCTCATCCTCCTCCCCGTCACTCCCGTATCCCACTGCCCTGGCTCGGGGTCCCCCAGGCACCCCGCCATCCTCATCCTCCTCCCCATCGCTCCCCGTGCTCCCTGCATCCCTGCTCGGGGCCCACGGCTCTGGGGGTCCCGGCCACTCAGGAGGGTCCTCTGCCTGGGGGACGCTGCTTTTGGGTTTCGTGGCAAATATCAGCGGGATGAGGAAGGAGGATGAAGGCCTCGGGGACATCGCAACTTCCCCGCTATGGCAGAGCGCGGGGCCCGTCGGACACCAGCGAATCCCCCCCGGAGCCGTGGGGAACAAGGCGTCACCGGTGGCCACGTCCCAAGCAGCCCCTGTCCCTGCGGGGCCGGGGGCTTCCCCCCCTCCCCATCGCTGTGGGGGTGTTGGGGGGATGGACCCCCCCATCCCCAGCCCCAGCTCCGGGCATTTACGGCACACTCACCGGTTCCACCTATTCCCATTTTAAGGCATTTCAAGCCTCCTCGTAGCCACAGAGAAAAGCTGGAGAACCCACAGATGTACCCCCAAAAAGTGCCCCCCACCCCCCTGAGCCCAGCGCCTGGGGACTCCTCTCCCAGAGGTGTTTTTGGGGGGGTTATGCCCCAGTTGGGGTGTTCTACAGGTGGTACTGGTGTTACTGGTCTGGCTGGGGCTGGGGCAAAACCCACTGCAGGGGTGAGCAGGACCCAGCAGCACCCACCACGACCTGGGACCCCCGGGACCCCCGCGGAGCCGGGGACAGGGACGGCTCCAGGGGACCGGGGCAGGACAGAGAGGCCCAGTCACCCCCTGCGCCAGATTTATTTGTTTTATTCCTAAATAATCAGCTCCGGTACAAGGTACAAAATCTCCCTCCTCCCCTCGCCGCCCCAGGCAAAGGAGCGGGGGGCAGGAGCGCGGCCAAGGAACAGCTCCAAAATCCCGATTCAAGGCCTCTAATTCTAGCGTAGAAAGTGTTCGGACACCGAGCTCGGGGCCCCTCGCCTGGAAATGGGGGGGCAGGAGCCCCCAGAGCCCCCCAGCACGCCTGGGGGTGCCGGCGGACCCCCCCAAGTCCCCCCAAAATGCCTGGAGGTGCTGGGAGCCCCCCAGCACATCTGGAGATATCTGAGATGATGGGAGCCCCCAGAGCCCCCCAGAATATATGGAGGTGCCAGGAGCCCCCCCCGAGCCCCCCCAACACGCCTGAAGAAGCTGGGAGCCCCTAGAGCCCCCCCCGAACACATAGAGGT